GTAATAAACATGGTATAATTTTTATTACTATTAATTATAGAACAAAATATATTGAAGAAGCTATTATTAAACATTTTTAACGACAAATGCGAATCTACCGGGTGAATAGTCACTCCCAAATTATCATAAAAAACCTTTGCCAATGGACAAGTTGTCAGAATCTCTTCAGCTGCACCATTTAATTCCCACTCTAAATCCTTATTTAAACATTGTATTATTCTAAATATTTATAATTCAACAAACGTATTATAATAATAAGAATGTTATATTTATATAGCGCATATTGCACATCGCCCCTATGCGCTTTACAGAGAAATAATATAGGCCAACTGAGAAAAAGCAAATAACAATAAAATAATAACAATAAAATAAAATGAAAATAATCATAATAACAATAACAATGAGACTAAACTACTTCTATTCCTTAAACTAATTAATGGTTGGCCGTTGACTCCAAGGAGCTCATCCGCCATTTGTTTTTTATTACTACTACTTTTGTGTATCGTCTTTCCAAAGGTATTATTCCACCATATATACGTTCCTTACTAACGCATCTGGGATACACACACATAATACTAGATTTTCTGAGACCAACTTTACTTTCGATTCATCCTTTTCCAAATTTCATTTATACTAGTTTTTATCTGTTCGAATTTTCTCAATTCTCTCTAAACTCCCACCCAATAGGATACACAAAAGCCGATTTATGCAAGAAGTTAACTAGAGATAATGATACAATTGATCGGCTTCACTATCGGATCTGCATAATTTACGAACGTTTAATGGGGAACGCATTCATTGGTAGATTGGTAGTCGAGTGTTCCTCCCTCGACAGACCTACCGGTATGAGAGCATACTAAAGTACTGAACTTGGACGCCGGAGCGTCTCCGCTCAGTTCAAAATTGATAACAAATAAGTAATCGGATATATCACTACACTATTATATCACTATAATGGTAATTTGGGAGAGTGTTTAATAGTCTATGGCTTCATTCAAAATGTATCTCAGCATAGGCATTATATTTATGTTATATATTATTTCAGTGGTATTTAGCTTCGAAGCTGCGTTTGTTCGCAATAAATCGGGAACATCCGTTTCTGAAGTACCGGTACTGGAATTACCCTCAAACTTACCTGCATTGCCTGGAGATTTCTCGCAGCATACGCGCGATTTTCAAGAACTTTTCTATATTATTATGGAAGATGCCAAGTTGAATAGAATGGCCCAGAATTCCTCAACTCCAACATATATGTTGGATCTATATAAGTCTATCAAAGGGCCAACAGCATCAATCCGTCCGACTCAGCTGGAAGCAAGTGTAATACGGGACTCGGACACTGTCAGGAGTTTTCTACCACAAGCATCAGGTAATTTTCAAATATGCCTAAATGTATATGTTTTAGGTTTGTAGGCCTATATGTTTTCCCCAACCAAGATTTATTTTTAGGGTGGTCATCCATCCAGCCAGAGCTAGATCAATCTAGCTATTTTACACAGTTCTGAGATGTATTATGGCAATTTTGACAATCATTCGAATACACATTGTAAAAGTAAAAGTTCAAGCTCAGGTTTAGATATACAAGTTACAGTCTATGTTTATCAAATACTGGAATTGCTTTTAGTATAATGTTTACGTACGAATTTGCGTTTCACTTGAAAATTAGAACTCGAATATATATTTTAACACACCAATGCTCCGTTGCATATACAATGACATTGGAATTCCGAAATTCACGTAAACCAGGCGCGTAAACTTAATTTCGATATATGCCTATGTCATTAGAAGGGTGTAAAATATTACAGCGCCTAATATTTTTAATAGAATTTTTTTAATGTTTTTACATTATTAAAATATGTAAACTTAATGAACCACTGTAGGGTATATTGAGACAGGAGAACACTTGATATATATTCTAAATTAATGGTATACAAAAAAAACTTTGTATGCAAGCGTGTGTGTTGTTTATTAGAGAGTTTTCACAAGCTTACGGAAACAAAAACAAATAAACGGTTACAGTTACGTCATAACGGTCATAACATGTTTAGACAACTCTTCACCTACAGTAGCGTATCTGTCATGCATTTTTGATGAATCAAATATCATTTCCAGCTATTAGAGTTGAAAAATGGTAAAATGGTTGCAAACAGTTAGCGCATAGACACTTCGTGCATGCTTCAAAATACCTTTAGGTATTTTTAAGCATGCACGTAGTGTTTATGCGCTAACTGTATACAGCCAATAGCTACCATATATCTGATCCAGCATCACGTTTACAAAGACCAGTACCAATACCAGCCCGAGTACAGCATATTGTCAAGAATGTTTTATGCACAAATAACGATAATGATAACAACGTATTCGTATTCGTTCGTTTTCGTAAGCTTTTGAAATTCCCAAGCATCCGAAATAACTGTTACAACTTGCAGTTGTATTGTAGAACGTTAGATGCATGTAGATCTCAATTGTTTGTTCATAATGAAGTACTTTAACTGTATTGTGTATTGATTTAAAATGAAAAAGCAAATAAATCTACAGGTATTTTTGAGTATCTTTAAAAGGCTTAAATGCTCTTCTACCACTGACTTAAGTACCTACTTAACTATTCGTGTTTTTTTTTTTATAGTAATAGGATTAGGCCTACTGTCGGTAGGATTTACCTGTGTACAGTTTTAAAAAGCTAAAAGTATTCTTTTATAGCTTTGTATAAAGTATTGAGTAGAAACTTTCAATCTAATTGTTTTACAAATAGGTCCAACTTAACTGAGCCTCACGTTGCAACCAAGTAATTAGTTGCCAATTAATTTAATCTTGTTTCACTCAGAAACGCTCACTAAGATTTTTTAAAGACTTACTTGCCAACTTAATTAGTTAAATCGGATCAACTTTGACGTCGATCACTGATGACTTCATGTCCCCTCTGTTCCCAATAATTATACTATTTTGTAATATTTTCTCTATATTTCAAAACCGACTTATGTGAAGCACAATCTTATAAAACAAAAATAAATATAATATACCATATGGAAATTCTTAGATAAATTAGTGTTAAAATCGATTTAATGAATTAAAACAACTACAATACATAATAATAACATAATAATAGTAAATATAATATGATAATAATAATAATAATTTAACAATAATAATAATAATAATGGTAATAATAATAATAATATAATAATAATAATAATAATAATAATATAATGATAAAAAATAACACAAATAATTAAATAAATGATATTATAATGATAAAATACACGAGGTCTGTAGGGACTTATTAATTTCAGTTTAAGATTCATATTATTTTTTAGAGCCAGCTAAAGCGCCTTCCACACTATGAAACTTTATGTCACAAATAATGTGATGCCCATATTTGGATGAATATCATCATGCCATATATGGGCACATCATACAATTTTCTCACGTAGATAATGTAAACAGAGTTTTAGAATCACGTTCTTGTAACTGATCGTATATTTTGATTATTTTTACAGATTTTGAAGAAAGTCAAGGAAGATTCAGTTTTAATCTGTCGGTCATTGAACCCGAGGAGGACATCCGTTTATGCGAACTTCGTATTGCAAACAAAAAGTTAAAATGGTCGTCACAAAATATCAGAATCAGTATTTACCAGACCTGTACGAAAGCTTGTGAAGATCCAACCGGCAGTGAAGTATGTTCTTCTTCCACTAGAATTTCATCGTTGACGTTGCCACTAACAGAGGATGAAGATGAGAAACAGGTAGTCTTCGACGTCACTCGATCGGTGCGTTACGCATTGCAGATTGAACGCTCCGCGTCTTGCGCATTAGAAATCATTTTGTCAAATGATGAGGAGTTAGAAGACCCAAAATCAATTGATAGACGTAGGAGAGAAATACTTGGTAGGGTTGACATAACGTCTGGAAGGTTTATACCAGCTCATAGCCCTACAGCTAAGCAAAAACAGACTGATAATGTGGTGTTGGTCGTTTTTACGCGTGATATAAAACCGAAGAACGTGCTAAATGATGCCAAAGTGCATGAACTCGGAGGTACATCACTTCAAGTTGAGGCAGATATGAGGCGAATGCGACGAGACGCAAAAGAAGACAGAAAGCTCAAGAAAGAACGAGAGAGAAACAAAGAGAAGAAACAGCAGCGGGAAAAAGAACGAGCTGATAAACTTGCCAGTGAATTGACAATACCAACGTGTCGGAAAGTAAGCTTTCAGGTGAGTGTACCATAGGCCTACTTCTCAATCACAGATTATTAGGCCTAGGCCTACAGTTAATTTTATTGATATCCCCTTTTCACACTTTGCAATATGACTAATCGATATATTTACCTATATATTTAATACAACCATATTTAATTAAAGACATAACTAATTCTTTCCAGATAAATTTCGATCACATTGGATGGAGCCGTTGGATCATCTACCCGGCTGAATTCGAAGCATTTAGGTGCGAGGGAAGTTGTACTGGTCCCATGAAGCCGCATCATAACCCAAGCAACCACGCAGTCATGCAAAGCTTGGTCAACCTTAAAAGACCGGACTTGGCCCCAGAGGTTTGTTGTGTACCCACTAAGTTAGTACCTTTAAGTATGCTGTATTTCGAACACGGTAGCATTGCTCTCAAGCACCACGCCGAGATGATCGTTGCGGAATGCGGGTGTCGGTAGTTCTCTAGTATGTTTTTACTTATTAAAAGTCTCTAATTATTACCAGGAACCAACGTTAGTAGACTTATATCACTATTGCCTCAATCGATGTGGGTCTACCTTACTTATTCGAATTGAAGTTAGAAGAGTGCAAACTAATAATAATAATTATTATTATTATTTTGTATGTATAGTTATATGTTACAACAATAAAGTTATCTTGTATCTTGTATAGTCATTAAATATCTCCTACTCCGTCCGTAATCTAAAGCTTAATACTCCACCCCCCCCCCAACCCCGGGCCTCCACAACCAATTTATATTAATGTCATATTGTTAATATGCATTTACGATCATGATGCTAACTTTTATATGGAAGTTTATTTAAGTTATTAATAAAGTACGAAAATCAAAATAAATATCGATGTGGAATTACAATTAAATTATAAAAAGATATTATAATTTGCTGGTAGCAAGTACTAGAAATATTATTATTTGTATTGCAAATATACCTCCAAATGTATTTACAATATAACCAAGTGAATAACTTCGACTTCGACAACCATGAATAATTATTGCAGTGATTGTAATGTACAATATTTAATTAAATATTTCCTAATCTAAAGCTTGTTGAAATAGAAAGAAAACGACGTCAACAATTAAAAAAAAAAGTGATTTTTAATCAAAGTTTTATTTGGCTGTTATCTTATTATCATCAATATTTTGTATGTCAAATTTAAATTTAATAAAACTTAAAGTTAACACCCACAAAAGTAGAATTAAGTAGACGAAATAGAAGTTATAGGTTACACAATCACACGAAAAAGCCAATGAATTATTTAGTCAATTGAGTTATATTTTCAGTGAAACTTATATGTACTACACTGTAAATAAATTTTATAATTTTCTACATTGTTAACTGGACTTTTAAATATTGCTTCATCGAAATTATTGCTTTCGTCTTTTTGATAATTCAAAAGCCATCTGAATACACATAATAGACGGCCAATGAGTTCCTAAAGTTGAGTTTCAATTAATTGGACTTACAAAGTGGATGGAACCATAAAGATAGGTAATACCTCCATGGTTGAACTAGGAATATGGTACTGTATTTTGGAAAATGTTTATCTATTGAAGTTCACAGTTAGCTTGTGACTTGAAATTGAGTTAGATACGACACGGGCTCCAATAAACAATCCCGCCGCCACCGCCAAGCTCAGGACGTTATCAAACCTTTGTCGCCAAACATAATCAAAGAGTTTATGAAAATTTACGCACTTCGGAAATTATCTATTTAATTAAGTGCATTGGTCGATCACGTAGAAAGACTTGTATTGTACTTAATGCCGATATCCTTCTGTCGTGTAATTCTTAGAAGGCATTAGTTCACAATATCTAAACAGTTATAGACATGTCGCCGAAATTAACAATAAACTGATTACAATAGCGTGCTATGGAAACTTCTTGTCCTCCTGATATCCTGCCAATGTCATGCTCTCGTCATGATATTTTTACGATGATAATGACGTTCAAACAACTGACATATATCATTATTATTTAATAAGTCTCTCTTCTAGAGATTGATGAATCGTTATTTTTGAAATTGTTGGTTTATAAACTCTGTTTCCTCTTCTTCAATTAAACGAGTGAAATCCTAAAATTGGAGGGAAAAATATATTAAAAATATCATTTAATATCTTCTATAATAAATAACGAATAAATCAACAAATAATAACAAGCAACATAATGACAACCATGACTATATGGAAAAGGGGAAATGGGAAGACAAATAGAAATGGAGGGATGAACAGGCAGAACAATCATTGAGACGAATATGGAAAAGATATGGGAGATGCCTTTGCCCAGCAACAAACTGAAAACAATGATGATGATGATGATGATGATAATGACAATGATGATGATAATTACGACGACGATAACGATGATGATGATTCGTAGAAGTATATGTAGCATTTTGTAGAACAAAATACAGCCGAGAACGAAAAGTCAAACTGAGATTTTCGAAAAGATAGTGCTCCTATTTCGCAATAAATGGGATAATCAAAATTCAATCGAGTCGTACGTGAAGGTAGTGAAGTGAATTAGTATATAAGTAGCAATTTGCCTATAGTTATAATATATATTATATTGATTAAGGCCATATATGCCTATTAACTGTAAACTTCAAGTCAACTAATCCTTTATCAATATTCATATTTACCTCCATATTTTCTCCTCTTGTTTCTTTCATATGTGTAAGAGGAATTAAACAACATATTGCACTAGTTGCTGTTAATATAAATAGCGCACTCTCTCGGTTTTTATGCATTAGAACCTGCGGAAACATAAGAATATTAAGTACAACATATAATAATACTATAATACTAATTTATGTTATTATTTGTTTAATGATGATTTCATTAATATTATGTTATTATTTACGATTATCATTATCATTATTATATTATATATTCACGTCGAAAGTACAGAGGCGAGGACGGTATATTCGTGTCTAATTTGATTGTACATAAAGATATATACAGTAATTGTAATGTTAAATAGATATTAGAGAGACTTATTTTCACACACGCAGAATTCTCTGATAACATCGCCGCAATACTCTTTGTGTGTAACACACACACAAATGGTATTTTAGTATTAGTTGATTAAGTGCTCAATACTACACTGTGGTATAATTATATATATTATTGACTCTATATATACATATATATATATATATATAAATATAATATAAATCGTCAAAGGTACATATACAGTGTTTAAATAAGGACATGATGGAATAAGGACATGATGGACATAATATACGACAGTATTTCTAGCCGTATTGCCAGATTTATCTGGCCGAACGCCCCCTTGAGGCGTAGCATTGTGTAATACAATGTTTCCGACGGATATTTGGACCTTCGTGGTCTAGTGGTTATGACGCTCGCCTTGTCAGCGAGAGGTCGCAGGTTCGAATCCCGTCGGAGGCATTTTATTACACAATGACTTTTATAGGACTTTATTCGTTGAAAAGCTACGATGTTCCATCATGTCCTTATTTAAACACTGTATATGTACCTTTGACGATTTATATTATATTTATTTAACAGTGTTAACGGCTAACTCCCTTCAATATCATATATACGATATATATATATATATATATACATATATGAAGAAGTATAATAATAATAGTTAATTATGAACAGAACTGTAACTAACGCTCACAATTTTAACATCAAATATTATTATTATTATTATTATAAAAGATCATAATTATTATCGTCACTTAGCATCACCTGTGTTGCTAATGGCGATATAGCGGCACCAACCATTCCCACCGCCATTGAGCTTCCCACTCCGATACCTCGTAGTGATGTTGGATAGACCTCCAGAGCGTACATATGTAGAATGGTAAATATTCCTGCCGTAAATGCAAGGGCGCCCACTAGCCAGAAGGTTAACATCACCCTAAATGGCAAAAAAATTATAATTTATAGAATTTGATCAATAATAATATTATTCAATTATTTTCATGTTTTGAGGGCGCTGTTGTAAAATAGTTGCCGAAGGAGCCAGGGTAGCTGGGTCTTTTGAGGAACTGTTCAACTTTGATGTTAATTGTTCTTGTATATAGGCCTATAGCTTATTTAGTTGAATAATAGAAAGGTGAAGTGATTAAGACCATAAGAAATTGTAATACTGTACTGTTTTGGTAGGAAGCTTTTCTTAAAATAAAAAATGAAATACAAATACTTAGCTGTATCTTGAGGATGTTGTATTATATAGAAGGCAGTGGCGTATCTATCCCTCCGTAAAATACTCGCACCCCCTTCCCCACTAGTCACCACCCCAAATAGCTCCCCCATAAAAAAAAAATACGCTCAAGTAGTTAAAAATCACCTAAAGTTACTTTATTTGTTCCCATGTTCATATTCACATTGTCTTTTTACTTTTTTATTTATATACTCTACTACTTTATTTAATTCATGTGCTATGTATACCATCGTGCTTTCGATCATTTATTTTGAAATTGGCGCATACCGTAACAAATGTTTGTTTATTATTATTATTATTATTATTATTATTATTATTATTATTATTATTATTATTATTATTATTATTATTATTATTATTATTATTATTATTATTTTTTTTTTTGTTAGGAGCCAGGGTAGCTGGGTCTTTTGAGGAACTGTTCAACTTTGATGTTAATTGTTCTTGTATATAGGCCTATAGCTTATTTAGTTGAATAATAGAAAGGTGAAGTGATTAAGACCATAAGAAATTGTAATACTGTACTGTTTTGGTAGGAAGCTTTTCTTAAAATAAAAAATGAAATATAAATACTTAGCTGTATCTTGAGGATGTTGTATTATATAGAAGGCAGTGGCGTATCTATCCCTCCGTAAAACAAATAGCTCCCCCATAAAAAAAATACGCTCAAGTAGTAAAAAATCACCTAAAGTTACTTTATTTGTTCCCATGTTCATATTCACATTGTCTTTTTACTTTTCTATCTATATACTCTACTACTCTATTTAATTCATGTTCTATGTATACCATTATTATTATTATTATTATTATTATTATTATTATTATTATTATTATTATTATTATTATTATTATTATTTTGCGAGCTAGTGCCCCTCAACCAATCATCGAGCAACGTGACCTTCGCGCTCCCCGTCAGCTTCCCCCTCCATTTCAAGAGTTCTAGATACGCCACTGATAAAAGGGGCAAACAATTTTTGTTTAATTTTATGGATTATGGGACTCTAAATTCGATTATATAAGCTGTTATAATCTGTAAAACGTCGGGAATTCTATGATCTCAGAACGAACTAATAAAGCGCCTAACAGGTGAATCATTTTTAGCATAAAAATTACTTAATTATTAATACTCACTTGCCAGTAAAAAACGCCATCATAAGGAACGATAGAGCTGATATGAAAGAATTTAGAGACAATGTGTATGGTCTTCCTACCCTCTCTACTAGCCATATATTAAGAGGTACACCTGAAAAGAGAATTAGTTGTGAACATACCATGTACTTGGAATTGAATTTGAAATGCAGACACATAAGTATCATATTTTTCGAATGTATTTAAAAAGGTCCAAACAGTTTTTAGGAATTTTTTTTCTAGCAGTGCAGTTACATTAAAATAATGTGATGTTGTTAAGGATGAAGATGTTGTTGTTAATGTTAATATGATGATGAGGATGACGCTGAAGATGCCGAGGTTGATGATGAGGATGATGATGATGATGATGATTAGATGATGATGATGATGATGATGATAAGGAGGTGATACCGTTGATTGTAATTATGTTGTAAACAGCAAGAGCAGCAGCTAACAACAACAATAAAATTATAATAGAAACAACGATAACAATAATAACAACGACAACAACAACAACAATAATAATAATAATAATAATAATAATGATAATAATAATAATAATAATGATAATAATAATAATAATAATATACAGTTATAGCGCTTATGATGATGATGTTGATGACAATCGTGGTATGATGATGCTTTATGATAATGATGATGATAATACTCAACAACAACATCAATGATGATAATGATGATGATAATAATAATAATAATCCAGTAATAACGATAATAATATTAATAATAATAATAATAATTATATATGTAAAAAATATGCATTGATATAACTTACCTACTAGTTCACCAAATGAGGCTATACTTAACAGCATAAAACTATCAATGTTAAAGGAAAGGCTACACGACGCTTCAAGATCGTTCATTGATTCGTTCCTTTCGTTCATAAAGCTGACTCCAGAGACTTGCACCAAGTCAGTACTACCCACATATATACCGTAGTATGTGAAGATCCCACAGAAGAATAGCAACCACACACGGATCGTTACCCATCGGTAGGCTGGACGAAATAATTCCATTAAACGACCACGTCGCTTTTGCTGTAACGTAAATTAAAACGAAACCCATTGCAAATCTATGTTTTCAGAAATCACAATATATTATATTTACTGTACATATAATCAGGATGCATTTTTTATGAAACTCATTTGATATATATGTATAATATAAACAAAATTGACTTAATTAATATGTATATGAAGAAATTAATCAATTATATAACGCAATAATTGATAAATGAAACAACAAGAGCCGTATTATTGATGTATGCATGTTACTTCTTATTGGTTGCCTGTATAGCACTTTATCTTACGAATCGATAATAATGTATGTACATAAGAAAATTAGTACCTATATACAAACCTCTTTTAGTTTTTCTAGCCGTCCTGGTGGCAGTGAACTGTTATTGGACCGGGCTACTTTTTGAAGCACTTTCTCAGCCATATGCACCTGACCTGTCACATTATAGAATCTCGCAGACTCAGGTAAAAACTATAAAGGAATATAACGTATACAAAAATATAAAACAAGTTGTTCTCCACATATTTTAAATGTAATGAAGTTATGTACCGTATTTTCCGTTGGCAATGCGTTATCAATTAACAAGATGAAGGTATTTTAATGGTCAATTATATTTACAACATGACTAATTTTGAAATTTAGGTTTTTGATATTTAAATATAAATAAAATATGTAAGCTCATTGTACACAATTTTTGCTCATATGCACTTTAAGTGCCTAGTACATCTTTCGAAACGAGTAAAGGGGTTACACGCGTGTACTGGTTCATTCAGCCCATTCTTGTGGACAGACTATATAAATCTAACTACATTACATTATGTTATACAAAACAAAAACTATAGTAGTTAAAATACAAATAGGTCTATTTGTGATAGTTTCAAATAAAAGCATAGGAGTAGGCCTGTATAAAATAAAGTAAATAATAATTTGTCATATTAATTTCAATTGGCCTGCGATAAATATAAAAATATCGATGCTCATGTCAACAAATATCTGATGAAGTCGAACTAAAAGTGATATAAAATGGTTATATACACAGTGAATATATATTGTTTTACACTAAAGGAAACGTAATTATTTTAAAAATGATAATAGAGGCAATTTTTAGCGCCTTATGCGAAAGGTTCGCACACTTTGCAGTGACGCAGTTGTTAGTCCTTTTCAGGTTGAACAGACTTAAATGTAAACTAAGACGACTGTATATACATATTGTACAACAATGTTATACAAATTGTAGAACGTAACGAAATATTCTGGAAACATTACTGTACGAGACAAGTTTCTGATCTAGCATGTTTTTTAATTCATGTTCCACAAGACAACCTTCAGTAATTGTATACCATATTTTTTCATTGTCTATACATGATATTCTACTTGGAGCACACATGCAGATCCTAAATGTCCTTTATTCGAACACTGTATTTACCTTTATATGATGGTTTATATATAACTTAAATAGTGTTAACGGATCTTGATTTAAATTTTATGCTATTTATTTCCAGCCGTAACTGCCCATTGTGTAATGGAGTGTACCTGGCGGTTATTTGAATCTGTTCAACCATGAAGCCTCTGTGGTATTATCTATGACGCTCGCCTTGACAGCAAGATGTCACAGGTTTGAATCCCACCGGAAGCCTGTTATTACACAACTTATTTATTTATTTATTTATTCATTCATTCATTCATTCATTCATTCATTCATTCATTCATTTATTTATTTATTTATTTATTTATTTATTTATTTATTTATTTATAGGACAACATTCGTTGAGGGCTATGCTACACGATGTACCATATTATCCTTATCAGAACACTATTTACCATTCTTTGATGATTTATATAAAATTTAACAATGTTAACGGCTATCCTGATATCGATATTATATATATTGATATATATATATATATATGTATATATAAGATATCTAACAAAGTATATATATATATATGTATATATATGTATATGTATATATATATAGATATATATATATATGTATGTATATATATATATATGTATATATGTATATGTATATATATATATGTAGCACATATATTGAGACCTTAACGCTTAACGACACACACACATTTGATTTAAACAGTGTTGGACGGGCAATGTATTTTAAATTAAAACTATGTCAAACATCAAGGTTACACGTAATAAACCGTGAGGTGGGCCTACCAGTCAAATACCATCGATTTACGTGTCAATCGCTACACGCACATCACTACAAACGTGTACATTCGTCATTATTCAGGTAGCGTGT